TGGTGCCCTGGTAGCGCAACTTGTAGAAGCGTTTGCCCGACAAGTGAAAAGTGCGGATTCGAGTCCCATCTGGGGCAAAACTTTTGTTCACAACCCAGCGTTTTGTGGAAAAGTATGGAGTATTTTTTGAAGTCATTCTGAAATGCCTGAGCACTAGTTCAAATAAAGGATAAAAGGATAAAGCATTTGCCGTTGATCAATCCCTTTTTGGGATGCGGCACGCATTCTACTTCCATTTGTACATTCGTAGTGGCGTTTGAATGCGATGTGGCCTATACAATGACTTGCGGGGCCAGCCGATGTACAAGTCAGTGTTTTTATCCTCCCAGACAAGTCTGGTACCAATTAACCGACCCCGGAGGGATGGAAGGCTTGGTTGGCCCGGGCGACTCACGACCCAGGATTTGATCCCCGGACCGCTCGCGTGGTAAGCGTGCCACTTGCCACTACACCACTTCCGCCCTATTGTTATATAACATATACAATTACTATTATTAACATTTGAAGCTTTTCATTCCTGCTTCGGTTCACGATATCTTCGGAGTTTGTATGAACCAAAGCTAATGTCTAATGCTTGAGTGCTACTGAGTCTTGTGCGGATGTCATTGGCTTCTCATGGCCTAGCTGAAGTGCGAGTGGCCTTTATTACAACAAACACTCGATTTCCACCAAATTCCAATCAGACCTGCTTCAAAACTGTTTTCTTTCAACCAACTATAAGAAGTTTCTGTAGACGACTATTGTAAAAATGGAGCTGATACCGAAAGTGTCATTGCATCGCTTGAGAAGCGTTTCAAGTGCCAATCGATGGCGAAACTAATCGAAGGTTTTCTGTTTGCCCAGCGCCTTTTGTTGGTTTTCTACACGTGATTCGCCCTTAGGGACACTTTGACTGCTCACGGGTTCCTCTCTTTGGCTTGAATTTTTGCTTTCAGAAAATTTTGATGTGTTCTTGCGCACCTTTTTCTCAACTACTCATAGAGTCGAATCATAGATTAGTAAAGTTTTACCTTACGAGTCATGATTTTTCTCGATCAAATCTCTTATCAAGATCTTATCTTTGTGAATGACTGACATTCAAGTGGATATATTCTTGTCTCCTTCTCTAGATTACCTCTATTTAATGTTCACTGGATGTGAGTGATTAATTCTACTCGAAGAAACGCCAAATTTGGATGGCGGTTGAATTGGAATCCTCGATAAATCCAAATTGTTATTCATGTATTATCACTTAGTGGCGACTTTCTTGTGTGTTTGCCAATTCCTAGCACATCACTGAAAGGAAACATAAAGTGTGTGACGCAGCGCCAAGGAATTCAGCTCAGATTCGGCTGGCACGTACAACAATGATTCCTGACGCACGCAATGATTCAGCTCAGATTCGGCTGGCACGTACAACAATTCCTGTTATCTGTATGCAGTTCTCGGAAGGGGTACGGGTTCGATTCTAACTCGGACGAAGTGTTTGTCCCTACCAAGCAATTCTATAGAATCGTAGCTGTATATTGTGTTCTAATGGCTCAAAGCGAACATAAGCAAAAGTTGCGGCCTTGTTTGAATGGTAAAGTAGGCATTTGGCATTTTTCAATCTCGTTAATGGGATGCGCCGCGCATTGCTTGCTCATCAAAGGGTTTGCCCCAGTGTCCTGGCATAGCTTCCTTGTAGCGCTGTTGGCGCGGTTCGTCGCCATCCCCCTCTTTCGCTGTCAGAGTCTCTAGCTTTAAGCACAGAGAGCATTAACGTTGAGAGGGCAGCATCGATGGGAGTCGCATCAATGCGAAAGTCGTACAAGGAAGAGGTCCCATTTCTCGGATTCTGGGTTATTTTTCTCGGTTTTTCTTCTTTCGTGCAGCGCTGACCATCTATTCATTACTTATGGGCTACGAAAAACGTTTCAAACGCAATACGTATGAATCATCGTTACAGCTACACATTGGCACTTATTGAGCATGATATTTCAGGCGGCGCCCGTACAATTCTCCCAAGCTTCCCAGCAGCCACCAGCTTCATTCGTTCAGGCGTCCCCTCAGCCAGCGCCTTCACTCGTTCAGGACAACATGAACAACCAACGTGAAAAGGTATTGTTGCCATCTTTGAAGCTTTTCGTAATTCTCTCGAATCGCTCGCTTCAGGTAGCATCTCCTAAACCGCTCGAAATATACTGTGGTCCTTCCTCTACCTACCTACCATATATGGTCAGCAGTCCACAAGACAGGCCAGGTTAGACGATCACTAATTTGGTTTTCAATGTACCTTCAGCGGATTAACTGGACATCTTTACGGGTTTATCTCCATTCTCCAATACATGTGAATGTTGTCTCATACAGAACCTCATATATTCAGCGTCTACTCAGTTCTCTCCTAACTACGCTATGGTGGAAAATGGACATGAGAACGGTGTGATGAAAGTATTGCCACAATCTTCATACAATGGTAAGTGCTTGTTCCTTCTTATTCTACAATTGCCCCTGAACCCTGAAAGGAACAGGTCAAGATTAAAGGGATGTTAAGCAGTTGTTTGAAGGAACAGTCTTCCATGCGTGAGATAGCAGGGTTCGCGATCGCGCAGGTATTACCATTACCTATGTGACAAGGGCGCCAAGGCTTGTGGCTTGCATCTATGCACCCCCACATTAGCGAATGTTCCTGTCTCTGCGTCTCGTATTCTTATGTAATCTCGCCTCCTAGTGTGATCCGTCGCACGGTGCTCATTATTTCTTAACCCATAACGGACGGCGTGCGCCACATGGTGGCGCACGATTATTTCTTTTGTTTTTGGAATGTTTCTAGCAATCTTAATATACCCGTATATACTCTCAGCAATGTGGAATAACATATCTTCCCAGGACCTGGACGACTGGATTTTTGACAAACCTACAATAAATTTTACATACATTTTGTCTTAATTTACATAAGTTTACTATTTGATGGGTGGCTTACCCATGGTTCGCACGTCCCGAGACCCCTTCCCCTAAATATAGCCACATCCTTGCTCGGGGTTGTTGTTTCGCATTTTTCGATAATGTCACCTACAGCTTCCATTCATTCTTTGCACCCTAGTTTTAGAGCGGAAAGGCGGGTTACGAACTTGTCGTCAACGGAAATCTCTTCTTTTGGATGATGAGACACGGACACCTACTTTAGCCCCGTCTTAACCCCTGCTGCTGTTCGCATAAGAATGTAACTCGGGTCACTGTCCAGAACACCGATTCCGGGTGTTTTTTGGTTTCCTTTCGTTTTTCGTCTATTGGTGATTCAACTGCTACCTCTTACTTCACATTTAAACATACATTACCACTCTTCTACTTTCTCAGATTGGATAAAAGGATAAAGCATTTGCCGTTGATCAATCCCTTTTTGGGATGCGGCACGCATTCTACTTCCATTTGTACATTCGTAGTGGCGTTTGAATGCGATGTGGCCTATACAATGACTTGCGGGGGCCAGCCGATGTACAAGTCAGTGTTTTTATCCTCCCAGACAAGTCTGGTACCAATTAACCGGGAGGGATGGAGGGCTTGGTTAGCCCGGGCGACTCACGACCCAGGATTCAATCCCCGGATCGCGCACGTGGTAAGCGTGCACTTGCCGCCACACCACTCTTATCCTTCAGAGTAAAAGGATAAACACATAGGAAAGCATCCAGGTCGATCAATCTCGTGTGACGCCGCGTATATCTATTTCAGTTCAGAATCGCAGTGGCGCTTTGAATGCGATTGGGCCTGTACATACTTTTACCAATGACATGCGCGGACCAGCCGACGTACATACAAGTCAGATCTGTTACCTCTCAGGTGATCTTGTAGCGATTGACCGCAGGGCATCACAAAAAATGCTGAAAATCTACCTTTTCCATGGGTTTTCGTGTGTTTGAGAGCAATTTCTGTACTATAAACGAATCCGTTCGCTAATCCTGAAGCAATGGCACTTTTACCTCGCTCTGTTTTATTTCATCAATGGACATGTAGGGCAGGCAGGGCCCTTCCAGCCAGCCGCCCGAAAACCAAAAATTCCAACGGGGTTGGGGCGCGCCGGGGGGCAAACCCCGCGGCGGGGCGGGGCGGGCCACCTATTTTTTTTTTTTTTATTTTTTTTTTTTTTTACAATTTGAAGCCTCGTAACATACAAATGTGAACTCCTTGTTTTGTAAATGTTTTCGTTAACATCAGACGTTTTAGAAGCCGGCCAACAACTTGAAGCGATCACCGTACGTACAACAACAACTACAAGAAGAACCGTTGTACTGAGTCCAATACCAAATCGATCATACACTATAGTGTAACAAGTGAAAGGGACTTTCGCACCATCAATTATCACTTATTCTATTTATTTGAAATGTGTCGTTTAAAATGCGAAGTAAAGAAATCTGCTTGAACCAAAATACTGTCTGCAGTACTGATCCACATGAAGTCAATGATGAGCTTTGTAAAGACTCGTTATTGATTCGAAGCTGGACAAGAGTGTAGATGTTTTTTTTTCTTCAAGGCTATTACCAATTGATGACTCATTAAAATTCTTATTTCCAATAATCACAATTTACTCTGTTAAATTTCTTGTGCCTTACGAGGTTGTTGGTGGAACATTTATTTCAATGGCCTAACGTTTCGACTGAATCGTCGTCTTCAGAGGCCGACGGTTCCACCCTTGAGCGGAAAAGTCCGCTGCCACACTAGAGCGCTAGTCAGTTTGAATTTTCCAATTTATTACCCTAGTCAGTCGAAACGTTAGGCCTTCAGAATAAATGTTCCACCAATAGACCTCGTAAGGCACAAAAAATTTAACAGACTTACAACTAACATGCCGAGGTTGCAAGAAGAGAGAAGTTGGGGAATACAAATTACTCTGCTTTGATTGTCAACTATGAATACAAGATGGGCGCAAATTACGGTAACAGCTAAAATGAGCAGAAAGCCAGTGTTACTAGGAAGGCAAAAATGAACAACAATGGAATGTTTGTGGAAATTTATTTCCTCTGCTTCCAAAAACCAGATGCGCGTCGAGTGCAGACCACACACCACAAGTGACGACGGCCTCCAAGTAAATCTGGTTCTAGTGGTTCATAGTGATAGCTGATAGTTGGTAAATGATAGTTGTAATTAGTGACAACTGATAGAATACAACTGCAACAGGCTAATCATTTCATTGGCAGAAAACATTTACATTTTGTGGAGGCCGTCGTCACTTGTGGTGTATGGTCTGCACTCGACGAGCACTCGTTTTTTGAAGGAGGGTGTGTACAGTATATGACCGCCGTCACACTCGGCGATCGCGATCGCTCCACCGCTTGTCCGTCGCCGAGGGTGACGGCGGTCTATTTAAAAACTACGGTAACAGGCTAAAATGCCATGAAAAATGACCAGCGCCACTAGAAAGACACAGTTTGACAACCAATAATATATTTGTAGAATTTTATCGAACAGAATACAACATTACTTTTTGAAATTGGAGCTGCCTGCTGTGATACATGAGTGAAGTCGCCTCGGTAACGCATTGTGCGTGTTATGTATATAGGCGGTATCGAGCTTGTTCCAGGCTTCTCTTTAAGTCATTGTTATTCCAAAGATTTTCAGAACAT